CCTGCATTACCTCTTTCTGTCTTCCTGCAGCCAATTTCCCTGCAAAGCAGCAGAGCAGCTGGACATGGGTGCACGTGTTCCTCTCCATACCCCCAAAGGCATACATTCTGAAAACAGGAAGTTTTATCCTGGTACAACTTGCCCCGAGCTGCAACCAGGCTCGTTGTGGTCTTGACTTATCACTTATTGTGGATGCTCACATGATTTCCGGGAGAAATATGAGTGAGTTACATTGTGGGTCTGCCCTAGACTCTGCTGAGAATCTCACAGGGTATACAGCATTCACATTGTGTTTCTCTAGGAAATCCTGACTTCGGAAACACCTCTGGTCCCAAGGGATTCAGACAAGAACTGTGGATCTGTATACAACTGTCCACTTATGCTCATGGTGGGGCGGGGTGGGGAGTACCTGCTCATATATTCCTCCTGGGAAATCTTTCTGTAAGGCAATAACTATCACCAGTGGTCAGCGTGCACATGCTCTTTGACTCTGCAATTCCTCTTCTAGGAATTTTTCCTAAGGATTTGAGGATAGGAATATCCATTATAGCGGAAATCTGGTACCACGCTAAAATCTCAAAGCAGGGAGATAGTTAAGTAAAGGGTAGTATACATTCCTTAGATGGAACATTATGTAACCATTAAAATGGGTACTTAAGGCTGATGTGGTGGCTCATGCCTAGAATCCCAGTGCTTTGGGAGGCCCAGGTGGGAAGCTTGCTTGAGCCTAGGAGTCCAAGCATGCCATGAGCTGTGATCACACCACTGCACCCCTGCCTGGATGGGAGAACAAGACCCTGCCTCAGGAAAAAAAAAAAAAAAAAAAAAGTGCTTAATTGGTAAATTTAGTAATCTGGAAAAAATATTCGCTATAGCTGGTAAGTGCTGGGCGGTGAAAGCCAAAGTGACCAAATAACACGTACCATGTGACCCAATGTTTGTTAAAAGGAAAAATAAAATGACAACAAAGAACACTGACATTGTGAATCCACTTCCGCTCCTGAAAAACAGGTCTCGGCTTTGCAGAGCTCTCTTCCACAAAAGGCAGGACTGGGCTGAGAACACTAGCTGGCTGCACGGCTATTGATCTGCCCCATGAAGGATGCCTTCCGCCTTCCGTCTTTATGTGACTCAGTGCCCTCCTGTCCCCATCGCTGCCTCTCCTCGGGGGCGGGGGCAGGGAAGTGGCCTAGATTGCCTCGGCAATGCTACCATGGATTTTAGTTGCAGCACCTTCTGTAGCCTGATTTGGGGTCATTTTAGGGATTTTTCATCCATTTGCTTAACAGACCCGCATTTTCTTTGCCAGGCACTGTGTCAAGTGCCAGGGATGCAGAGGTGAGTAAGACAGGAGGCTCCGGGTTCTAAATTCCTCGGCTGTGTCTTATGCGTCTCTGCTTGCCTTGCTTAGGGTCGTACCAGGCTCCTAAACAAACGATGAATGAACAGGGTCCCTGTCCTTCAGAAACTCATGTGCCAGGAAAGGGAAACTGATGAGCAGGTTTGTTAAAGTGTTGGTGGTGGCGTGTCCTGGTGGGACACACAGGAAAAAGGACCCATTCCAGAGGGCTGGGTGAGGGGAAGAGTGGGGTGAATTCAGCCTTCATCAATTTCACAAGTGCTGTCTTCTGGACGGATGCTCCCGTTAAGCCTAACTCCATGGTTAACGCCACATGCAAAGACAACCAGGCTATTTAGCGCCTCAGAGCTCAGAGAATATGTGCAATGCCATTGAGGAGCCAGGACACAGGGCTCTTGTGCTAGGTTCCTAACAAGGATGGTGATACAGAAGATGATTTAGGCATATGACCATTGCATCCAGTATGTTCTCTTTCCCTTTGCTATCTCTCAAGTCGAGGCGGGGAATGGGGAGAGGAGGACCCCTGGGGGAGTCCCAGGTGGAGCTGTTTTATATATGGCCATTCTGCTTCCTGGTTTATGACTCAACAGGAAGATACCCTGGGAGGGTCTTGGGCACTGATAGATGATAATTAAAAAGATATTTAGGTTGGGCACAGTGGTTCATGCCTGTCATTCCAGCACTGTGGGAGACTGAGGAGGGAGGATTGCTTGAGCCGAGGAGTTCAAGATCAGCCTGGGCAACATAGCAAAACCCTATCTCTAAAAAAAATTACAATCATTAGCTGGGTGTGGTGGTACACGCCTGTAGTCCTGGCTGCTTGGGACGCAGAGGTATGAGGATTGCTTGAACCCAGGAGGTTGGGGTTGCAGTGAGTGGAGATCGTGCCACTGCGCTCCAGCCTCAGTGACAGAGAGCCTATCAAGAGAGAGAAAGACAGAGAAAGATTTAGATTCATTAAAAATCAATCCTTTAACAAATAGTTACAAAGTATCTACCCTGCACTACAAGCTCAGTCCTGATTACTCAACAAGGAACAGAGGCACCCACCCTCCTGTGGTGGAGTCTCCAGCGAGAGCCCGGGGACTCGTCAAGTGAGAATGCAATGGAAAGTGTAGTTTTAGGCCAGGAGCCCTGAGCACCCTGGGCACTGGGGAGTCTATCTAAAGGGAAATGAGTAGGGAACCCAGAAAGGGGGAGCCCAGGGCAGCTTGCAGCCCTCCCTGTGTCATCCTCCTCACGCTGAAAAGTTCCCTCTTGACTCTTTGGAGGTAGCCAGAGACTGCTGTCTATCTACCACCCAGAAAATCCAGCCACCTGCAGCTTCTGGTCACCATGCGGTTACTTCCAATCTCTCAAACGGGGTTTCCAATCTCTCGTAACTGTAGCTGACATCATCGTGCACTCTCTATATGCCCAGCACTATTCTAAGTGGGTCACATGCAGTAACTCCTGTTCAATTCTCACAACATCACTATGAGGTCAGTCCTGTGTCATTCTTATCATACCCATTTATCAGATGAGGACACTGAGATTCAGAAAGTGGAAATAGCTTGTTCAAGGTCTCACAGCTGATAATCTGTGGAGTTTGGACTTGAAGCTAGACAGACTGAACTCAGCACTCATTCTCCTCTTCTCTAGACTCTGACGCCTTTGACAGGCTATATAATACAAGATACACAGGGTCCTGTTCGTATGGATTACAGTACAATGGGGATAACAGAGCAAGCTATAATGATACCAATCTGACGAGTCTCGTATGGAAGGTCCTGGCTTGCAGAGACTTTCCGGCTTTAGCACAGAAAGCCTCAAATTCTGGGAGCCTCAGTCCTTGGTAAGCTAGATGGTTGTATTAACCTAGTTGTGTGAAAAGGGAGTCATAAAGGATTATCATTTCTTTGCCTTATTTTGAAATTTACTAATTTGACAGGTGTCACATGGAATTTCACTGCTGTTTTTACATTGCCTTTCTTTTGATCGCCAGGGAGGCTGAACAATGTTCTTGATGCTTTTTAACCAGGTGTATTTTCTAGTTTCTGAATCAGCTGCTCCTAGAATTCATCTGCTGAGGCAGAGGTTCTCAGCCTTGAGTGGGCATCAGAATCAGAGGAGGGCTTCTGAAAAAGCAGATCTCTGGGTCATATCCTCAGAGTTTCTGATTCAGTAGGTCTGGAGTGGGGCCTGGGGCTGGGCATTTTTAATAAGCACCCAGGTGACACTGAGGCTGCCAACTGGTCAGGGACCGTACCTAGAGAGGCACTGTGTTTGGGTGTTTTGTGGAAGCTCTTCATTTAGTAAAGTGATTCTCACATTTGCTAATTGTGCACCTTAGGTCAGGTATGGCATTGGCTCACGCCTGTAATCCCAGCACTTTGGGAGGCCGATGTGGGTAGATCACCTGAGGCCAGGAGTTCAAGACCAGCCTGACCAACATGGAGAAACTCCATCTCTATTAAAAAAAAATGTGCACCTTAGAATCACCTGGGTAGTAGTAAAAAACTCAGATGCTATGGCCCTAACCTGGACCAGGTGAACCTAATCTTAGGGAGCAGAACTTGAGCTTTGCTAGCTCATTTAAAAATTTCTCAAGTGATTTCCTCATCTCTGTAGTCTTAAAATGAAAACCAGTGTGAAAAATCCCTGAGCAGACAAAGCCAGTTATGCTTCATAAGTGACCCTAAACTTCTTGATTTGAAACATAAGCAAAACTGTATGCCTTTTTAATTTTTCTAGCCTTACTTTGCTAGCTAGAACTTCTAGCACTAGGCTGAGTAAGAGTGGACCTCCCGGTCCCTATTTTTGCAGGTAAAAGCATTTAGTCTTTCAAGCATTAAGTGTGTTAGCTGTAGTTTTGTTGGCAGATGCTCTTAAGCAATGTTCCTTTATTCCCATTTTTTCTGCAAGTTTTTTTTTTTTAACATGAATGGGCATTGAATTTTGTCAAATGCTTTTTCTGCATTAATTTATAGGATCATATGATTTCTCTTCTTTCACCAGTTAATATGGTGGATTGCATTGATTGATTTTCAAATATTCAACTAGCCTTTCATCTGTAGAATAAACTCCAATTGGTCATGGTGTACAATCGTTAAGATTTATTGCCAAATTCTATTTGCCAATATTTTGTTAAGGATTTTCACGTATATATTCGTGAGGGATATTGATCTGTAGGGTTTTTTATTTATTATTACTTTGATTTTTTGTTTGATCGTTTTGAAACAAAGTGTCTCTTTCTGTTGCCCAGGCTGGAATTCAGTGGTGTGATCTCGGCTCACCATAACCTCCACCTCCCAGGTTCAAGTGATGCTTCTGCCTCAGCCTTTTGAGTAGCTGGGATTACAGGCGTGTGCTACCATGCCTGGCTACTTTTTATATTTTTAGTAGAGATGGGGTTTCATCATGTTGGCCAGGCTGGTCTCGAACTCGTGACCTCAAGTTATCCACCCACCTTGGCCTCCCAAAGTGCTGAGATGACAGGCATGAGCCACCATGCCTGGCCACCAGCCTCAGCCCCTTAAGCTCAAGCAATCTTCTGGCCTCAGCTTCTCAAGTAGCTGGGACTACAGGCACATGCCACCATGCCTGGCTAATTTTTGTAATTTTTATAGAGACAGGGTCTCACTTTGTTGCCCAGGCTGGTCTTCAGCCCCTGGGCTCAAGTCATCCTCCCACTTTGGCCTCCCAAAATGCTAGGATTACAGGTGTAAGCTGCCGTACGCGGCCCTATCTCTGGTTTTAATATCAGGGAACTACTATCTTCATAAAATGAATTGGAAACTGTTCCCTCCTCTTCTATTTTCTGAAAGAGAATGTAGGGAGATGGTGTGAATTCCTCTTCAAACATTTGGTGGAATTCTTCAGCGAAACCATCTGGATCTGGAGACTTCTTTTTTGGGAGTTTTAAAATTGCAAATTCAATTTCCTTAACAGTTGTAGGCATATTCAAATTATCTAGTTCACATTGGGTGAGTCGTAGTCATTTGTATTTTTCAAGGAATCAGTCCTCTTTAACTCAGCTGTCAAATGAATGTGTGTTCTCAGTAGCTTTTAAAAACTCCCTTCCCTCCGTTAGTTTCTCTCACATTGAAATGAGATGCTGATTCCCTCACAAGCCTTCCCTTCATCCAGATCAAATGACAAAATGCATTATCCTGTGCCCTGACCCAGGAGAGCATCCTCGACAGGCAGAGCCCAGGATGGAGGAGTCCCAGGGTGAACCCACAGAGTTTTGGGGAACCAACTGGCCTTGGACCTCTCTGAAGAACTCTGGAAGCAGAGGGAACTGGCGATCTTATCAGTCACCTAAGCCTCCCTGGAGAGACCTCCCAGGAAGGGAGGTAGGAGTTCCGCCCTTAGCAGGTTTGAGAAGTCAAAAACGCTGGGGGCTCTGAATACCACTAGGTGGCGCTCAGAACACACAGTTGCTCTTGGAGTCCACTGGTGGATCCAAGAACCTCTGTTCAGCTAGATTTGGTCTGTGGGGCATTTGTTCCTTTTTTTTTTTTTTTCTTTTCTTTTCTTTTTCTTACTTCAAGAAAGAGGGGCATTTGTTCTTTAAGTGAGATGCACTTTAGAGTCTAGAAACCGCAAGGACCCCACGAGCTCTGGGTTGGTGGACGTGGTAGTACTTTCTCTGACTTCCCTACTGACAAGGGAGGGAAGACTTGAGAGGTGGTGCTGGCTGGAGGCTCCTGCAAGATGTCAGAGGTACTTACCAGCCGCTGCTGAGATAAGTATGCCCACCCGGAGCCTCTGTGTGTTACAAAGTGTCAACAGCCCCGGCCAGGCCCGGGAAGAATCCTAAAGAACGTACCTGGGGCTCCAGGTCCCTTCCAGGCTGGCTCAGTGCCACACCTCTTCCTAATCCTGCCCCCTGCAGAGGTGCTGTGATCTCCCCCACCACATAACCTACACTTTCAGGAAAGAGTCCTCTGGAGTCAGTTGGGAGGCTCAACGTTTTGTCCTGTCTCTGCCGCTAACAGTGTGCCTTGGGCAAGGCTTGCACACATCTTTACTAGATTCTGGACTGAGTGCAAATCCTGACTCAACCACCCACAGCTGTGGTGGCCTCTTAGGAATGTTACTTCACCTTCATGAGCCTCAGGTTCACATCTGTCATATGGAGATAATAAAGACACTCATCTTATTGTGTAGTGAGGTTTTATTTTTAATTAATTAATTAATTAATTTTTTAGACGGAGTCTTGCTCTGTCGCCCAGGCTGGAGTGCAGTGGCTTGATCTCGGCTCACTGTGACCTCTGCTTCCCGGGTTCAAGCGATTCTTCTGCCTCAGCCTCCTGAGTAGCTGGGACTACAGGCACATGCCACCATGCCTGGCTAATGTTTGTATTTTTTTTTTTTTTTTTAGTAGAGATTTGTTTTCACCATGTTGGCCAGGCTGGTCTTGAACTCCTGACCTCGTGATCCACCCGCCTTGGCCTCCCAAAGTCTTGGGATTACAGGCGTGAGCCACTGCACCTGGCCTTTTATTTTATTTTTTGAAGAGCCAGGATCTTGCTCTGTTGCCCAGGCTGGAGTGCAGTGGTACCATCATAGCTCACTGTAACCTTCAATTTTTGGGCTCAGGTGATCCTCCCACCTTGACCTTCCAAAATGCTGAGATTATGGGCAGAGAGCCACCATGCCAGCCACAGAAAAGAGTAAGCACTGGATGGATGTTGGCAGTTATTATTTTATCGCTAATATTATTATGGTTTTTGAAACATAGTCTCACTATCAACCAGACTGGAGTGCAGTGGCACGATCACAGCTCACTGCAACATCTGCCTCTATGGTTCAAGTGATGTTCTCCCCTCAGCTTCCTAGGTAGCTGGGAGTATAGGTGTGCAACACCACACCTGGCTAATTTGTATGTGTGTGTGTTTTTAGTAGAGATAGGGTTTTGCCATGTTGCCCAGGCTGGCCTTAAACTCCTAAGCTCAAGTGATCCACCCACCTCGGCATCCCAAAGTGCTGGGATTACAGGTGTGAGCCGCCGCACCCTGCCACCCCTATTGTCACTAATTTTTGTACTTCTCCCATCCCAGCCCCAGCGTAGGTGTACTTGTTTTCTATTGCTGCTCTAACACATCACTGCAAGTAGAATGGCTAAAAACAGCACAAATTTATTCTTTTACAGTTCTAGAAGTCAGAAGTCTGTAATCAAGGTGTTGGCAGAGCTGTGTTCTCTCTGGAGACCTCAGGGGAAAATCCATTCTCTTACCTTACCCAGCTTCCAGAGGCCGTCCACGTTGCTGGCCCTGTGACCCCTTCTTACATCTCTCCAAACGCTAGTTGCCATCACCCATCTCCTGCTGCTAATTTGATCCTCTTGCCTCCTTTTAAGGATCTGTACCTTGGACTCAAACAGGTAATCCAGGATAGTTTTCTCATCTCAAGATCCTTAATAACCTGCCTGCAAATGTTCTTTTAACATGTGTAGTAACATAGTCACAGGTTTCAAAGATTAGGAGAGGGATGTCTTTGGGGGACATTATTCAGCGTAGCACACTGGGAAAACAGATCCAGTTCAAAATAAATAAGAGCTGGAAAAGGGTTTTATCTCTATATCCCCAGTGCTATGGTTTGAATGTTTGTGTTTCCTCAAAATTCATACGTTGAAAACTTAACCTCCAAGGTGATGGTATGAGGAGGTGGGGCTTTTGGGAGGTGATTAGGTTTAGATGAGGTCCCAAGGATGGGGCTCTTATGATGGGATTAGTGCCCTTATAAAAGCAGCCACAGACAGACCTTTGCCCCTTCTACTATGTGAGGACACAGTGGGAAGGCACCATCTAGGAACCAGGAAGAGGCTTTCAACAGATACTGAATCTGTTCTTGGACATCTAGCCTCCAGAACTGGGAGAAATAAATTTCTGTTGTGTATATGTATGAGCCACCTCATCTGTGGTATTGCATTATAACAGCCTGAATAGATTAAGACACCCAGAATCTAGCACATTGCCTGTTTGGCCTAGAAGATACTAACTTACTGAATGAATGAGTATTGTGAACATTACTGGTGCTCACCAATACCCAGCTCTTCTCTCCTTCTTTGGGTGGGGGCACATGACTAGTGACTAGCTTTGGCCAGTGAAAGTGAGCAGAAGTGAAGTGTGTTACTTCCAGGCTGAGTCAGTGGAAGCCTCCATGTGACACTGCAGCCTCTGTCCTTCCCTGCCATGATAAATGTGGATGCCTTCTCTTGAGACAGACTGAAGCAGCCTGGATTGTGAGTCACTGCATGGAGAACAGGCAACCTGGATTGTTACCTGCACTTACCAAGAAACAAACTTAGGAAATCTGGGGAATGCTTTTCACTGTAGCATAGCCTGCATCTATCCAATGCAGCGAGTTAATGGAACTGCCCAATCTTTAAGGTCCAAATCAAAATGATGTTATAGGTAGAAGAATCAGCCATACAACATGCCTAACTAGTGGTCTTTGGCATGCCCAGGTGGCTGGGCAGTTCTGTCTACTTCCATGTTTTGCCCAGGATCTAATATTGTATAGCTTCTCTGCTTTGGTTTCCTCATCTGTAAAATCAGGAGAATAATAGTACCTGCTTGAGATGATTGTTGAGAGATTATGTGATTTAGTGCAGATAAAGCATTTTAAACAGTGCCTGGCATATGGTAAGACTTAATATATGTTTGTTATCATCATCACCACCATCATAACCACCATTATCATCACCCCATCATCACCCCGTCATCACCACCACCACCGTCACCACCACCATGACCACCACCATCATCACCACCATCATTACCAACCCCATCACTACCACCATCATCACCACCATGACCACCATCTATACCACCATCACCACCACCATCAATACCACCATCACCATCACCAATACCACCATCACAACCACCATCACCACTACCATCAATACCACCATCACCATCACCATCACCACCACCATCAATACCACCATCACCACCACCATCACCACTACCATCATCAATACTAACATCACCACCATCACCACCATCACCACCATCATCACCACCATCATCACCATCACCGCCACCATCATCACCACCATTGTCACCATCATCATCATCACCACCATCACCAGCACTCTCGCCACCATCACCATCACCATCATCACCACCACCACCATCATCACCACACCCATCATCACCACCACCACCATCATCATCATCACCATCATCATCAACACCACCGTCATCATCACCATCATCACCATCATCATCACCATTGTTATCAGGAGGAGGAGCAGGAGAAGAAAGAAATCTTACTCACATTTCCAGTGTGCAAAGGAGAGAATAAATTTGATCAAGTTTAGTAAAGATAAATGCTAGTAATAGCAATCTCACATTGTCAACTTTAACTATGAAGCCAGTAGAAATTAATTTTAAGTTTGGACTTGGAGTTTCACACCTGTAATCCCAGCACTTTGGGAGGCCAAGGTGGAAGGATTGCTTCAGCCCAGAAGTTTGAGACCAACCTGGGCAACATAACAAGACTCTGTATCAAAAAGGAAAAAAAAAAAGTCAGATGTGGTGGTGTGTGTCCTAGTCTCAGCTACTAGGGAGGCTGAGGTGGAAGCATAACTTCCCAGAGGTCAAGGCTGCAGTGAGCCGTGATCATGCCACTGTACTCCAAAGCAAGATCCTGTGAAAAAAAAAAAAAAAGAGAGAGAGAGAAGTCTTACACATTGTCATGTTTTTTCCTTTGAGACCATCAAGCATTTTTCTCCCTCCTCCAACCCTTTAATAGACTTATGACTAATTAGAAATCTTTCTGGGAAAAGTAAGAGAAGCTGGGAAGTGAGGAAGATAGCCTATGAGACCTTAGAAATAAATTTCTATGTAATCAATATAGTTCAATAATTTCCCAGAGAGACTGGCTTCTCTACCATGCTATCAGTCATAGTTTCAGCCAGTGAAAGCGAGGAGTGTGTTAGAAGCCCAGGTGACAACTTTAGGACTCTTGGCTGCTTTGATGTAGTTGCTCAGTGAAGCTGGACTGTCCATGTAAGAAATCATTCATTCGTTCGCCACATATTTGTTGAGCACCTGCTGAGGGCCAGGCACTGTTCTGGCCAGCTCTGGGGTGGGACTGGTTGGGGCTTAGGACACTCCCCACCCCTTCTTGTGATTGGTTCAGGAATAGACATGTCACCTGTACCGCTGAAGAACTGTTTGCTGGAGGTCCTGAAAAAGTTCCTCTCTTTTCCACAGGGCAAGAAAGAAAATGAAAATCATTTAAGCAGTAGGTACATAATAATGCCACATGCAAAAACTTTTCATCACAGCATGGCCGGCAACAGTGAATCACTGGAAGAAATCAGATTTTCATAAGTAAGCTGTGGTATCTCAACAAAAAGCAATGCCATGCTGTTATTTAAAATAACACAATGACTATAAAACATGAAGAAATGTTTACATAAAGATACTAAGAGAAAAAATTATGCAGAAAACTATATAGATATGCTCTGAAGAATTAAAATGAGAAGGTCATAATTAACAAATGGAAGTAATGTCTTTGTAAGACTGCTGGGATTATGAGTAGTTAAAAACATCCTTTGAACTATTTTACAGCAGTCTCTATATTTTATTTCTTTTAAAGAATCCTCGCAGTAATTTCTGAACAGGTAAGCCAGTTGGTTGCCATTTTCTAGGACTTGCTCGGTGAGCGCATTACTTCTATTTCACTGGTAGTCACTCTCCAGTCTTGAGGATTCTAGCCTTCTGATGAAGCCAACGCTGATTGCGGCAAAGAGAAGATACAGAAAGGGACGAGCCTCCTCGGGATCTCCGCAAGCTGCTTGACCATACTGCTGGACTCTTCCGGGTAGCTGGCAAATTTCCACATTATTTCAACTGGCTGGGACTGGACTTGTGATTGAGGCAGAAAGCATCATACCCTAAGCCCTCCCCATAGCCACCCTCACATCTTTGATTGTATGTTAACACCACTACAGAATCAATCAAATGCATTACCTTGCAAAAGTTGTTGAAAAAAGCCCCATTTGGAGAAGGTGTTCTGTGGAAGCAATCATTCCTTACGCTCCCCTCTCCTGCCACATCCCCCGTTGCATCTTTGGCCCATTTTTTTGCTACTAGTTTTTTTCTAGACCTGCAGCTCTCAAACTTTGGTTGCATCAGAATCATGGCTGGGAAGTCTGTTCTGTAAAATGCAGATTTCCAGGTCTCATTTTTAGAGCCTAGCCTAGTTCAGTGTGAAGGTCAGGTCTTCGTTGTCTGCCTTGTCACTAAGCTCTCCAGGGCACTGTACTGCCGCCAGATTTGGGAACTGCTGCTCAGGTGCAACTCTATTTCAGAATGTGCCTGGGAATCACAGGCAAGGCGGCCCAGGGCTGATAAAGAGACGAAGCTGATTGAGGGGAATCAACATGCTTGTTTCTTACTCGTACAGATGCACAGTGAAACATATGAGTGAAAAATGACATTTTCTTTGAGAACAGCTTGGACAGTGACCTGAACAACCCAAGAAAAACCTCAGTGGACTTACATGAACCTGATTTGGCTCAAAATTAAGCACCATGTGGAAGATCTTGCCCTTGTGAAATGACAAATTGAATGTGTTCAGAAATTGCATTTGAACTAGTTGAGAACCTGACCCAGGTTAGTGGTTCTTTACCTTACCATTCAATAAAGGGGTGACATTGATGATTCAACCATTTTAGCAAGCTTTATTTGCTCTATTTATAATGAGAATGTAATAATAGTAACATTTCATTGATTCTAAGCTGCAGTTCTATCCCCCACCCCCCAACCCACATACATTTTTAGCAACTGTGTAATTAGGATGTGTCTTAAGATCAATGTCTTACGGTCATTGACACAAGGTCATAACATGGTTGTCATTGTCGACACCTTCTGGTGAGATCCAGAAAGACCCAGGAACAACATTTGCAGAATGAGTGTTGGCAGCCTGGGAGAAACCTCTGAGACCTCAGTGTAGCATCTTTGTGGGAACACGTCCTCATCTACACCCTTGATGGCAAAGGGTGACTTTGTGTTGAAGGATACACATAATGACAAGATCAAGGTGAAAATCACAAAGAAAATTTAGACTCTCCGAAAAAGTCTGCGGAATAACTTAACCCATCTTTTTCACTTGATTTCCTATTTCGAGTGCCCAAGGGTGACAGATGAGATATCTAAATAAGTCTAAAAAATTACTCTCAGTAAGTCTTAAACATTTTAAGAGATCGAAAAAAGTATTATGTCATAATTTAATTAGTAGCATTTTCCATTTGCTTCCTTAGCAATATATAAAATAATGGTGAATGTTATAATGAACAACATATTAGATGCAATGAAATACAGTAACAGTTCACACACATAGAACTTCTGATCTGCTGTGGGTCAGTACTCCATTCATGTTAACTCATTCAAGAGCCCATTTTATAGATAAGGAAGCTGAGGCACTTGGAAGATACAGCCACACAGCCAGAGATTGGTAGAGCTAGGTGGGATTCCAAGCCAGGCAGTCAGCCCTAGGGTCTCTATTATAGCATCTCACCTAGAGATGTGCTACTTTGCAATGTGTCAGATAATAGCTGGTAAATTGTCAAACAGATTTGTATTTTAACAAGCATAGCACTGATTAAGAAAAAAAAATGTGGCCAGGTGCAGTGGCTCATGCCTGTAATCCCAACAATTTGAGAGGCCAAGGTAGGTGGATCACCTGAGATCAGGAGTTCAAGACCAGCCTGGTCAACATGGTGAAACCCCATCTCTACTAAAAATATAAAAAATAATTGGGCATGGTGATGCTATTTATTTGGGAGGCTGAGGTAGGAGAATCACTTAAACCTGGGAGCCTATTCAGGAGGCTGAGGCAGGAGAATCACTTGAGCCCAGGAGGTGGAGGTTGCAGTGAGCCGATATTGTGCCATTGCACTCCAGCCTGGGCAACAAGAACAAAACATCATCTCAAAAAATAAAAAAGTGCAAATATGTTGTGAAAATGAGGCCAATTGTGTGACTGGCAAAATAGCAGAAGAAGAAACATGCATCAAGGCTATTTATCACCCAGAGCATCCCAGAAGGTGCTGTTTCATTTACCTATGGTCTCTCACACCAGAGTGTTTCTCATTGTGTTCAATGGGGTGTTGAAAAGAGTAGAAACAAAAGTAGTTTGGGTCTTGTCTTTTCTCATAACTTATATTGAAATGGGGAGTGACTTTAACTGATGACTTCTGCACAGATGTTTGCAGCCTTTTTCAAGGGAGGAAGCAATCTCAGTTGTCAGGGACTGAGTTCAGGCCTGAGTTATTATTGTTTGCCAAGTATTTAGTAGACATTAGGACAAAGAGTAAAAATGTGAATTTAGTGTTTGACCTAATGGGAAAGCCTGGCTCTAAATACTGTATTTAGCAGATTTTTAAAAAGACTCAATTAGTGCAAATTTTATATTTTATTGCTTTTATTGTATTTTACAAGATTGATAGGATGACAATGAAATTTGGTATATCAATGGCCAGAATTGATTATGGAGACTGAGTCTTTGGAGGCTTAATTCATTTTCAGGTGACAAAAGGTACAGCCTTGGTGATAAAACAGAACAAAGAAAAATCAGTCATTTTTGTTCATGGAAATATCATCTGTTGAAAACTG